CCCCCGCCCGCCGGCCCATCCGCCCTTCCTCCCGCGCCGCCGCCGGTGCGCCGGGATTGTGTGCAGCTTATCGGCCGGATATTTATTGTAAAATACCTACGTTTTTCCCGTCCGCCGCCGTGCCCGGCCACGGTCAGGCAAGCGGATTGCGGCCATTTTTCCTGCAAATTAAATAAACGAAGGCCGCCGAAGGGTAACGTCGGCGCTTGCCGAGAGAGAGCCCGGGGAAAGTCCGTTATTTTCAGAGCCGGCGAATTTCTAACCGCGGATTTTATGCGGCGTCGACGGCCGCGCTCAACGCTAAAGCCCCGTACAGCCGGGGGTGGACAACTAGCACGCGCCTGAAATTTTCGCCTAGGTTATCGCGCGCCCGGGTCCTCCATTATTGATAATGTATCGAATAACATGACTTCTCCATTACAAAATCGGCTGCGGAATAACGAAGCGACCGCCGGGACCGAAATTCCGCGCGGGATCGCCGAGAGCGCGGCGCTCGGCTTCCCGACTGATGCACAATTCATGAAGACGATCCCCGGCCGGTCTCGGGGAGCGTTGTCTCATTTTTCCAAATATCCCCTCTGAAATCCCAACCATGGCCGTGCCCGGCGCGACGGCAAAGCTTTTCTCTCCGCCCGGCTCTCTCCCGCTGCTCTCTTTCGCGCTCTCGTCACTCTCTCGTCTCCATCCGCGCTCTGCCTCCCTTTGTCGCCCTCCCCTCCCCGCCCTCTCCGTCCCTCCCGCCTCGGCCTTTGCAGCGAGGTATCGCGTAACACGCTCCCGTCGTAATTCGAGCACCGGGGATCGAATGGTGGCGTTGGATAGCCCCGTCGCTCGCCGAGAAGAGGCTGCGACTGGTAACCGGGCACGTCGGTGTTAAAGTCCCCGTTTCCGGGACAAGTTTCCGCCGCGGAAACAGCCCGAAGCGCGTCCGCGGACGCTGTCTCATTGTATCAGGTTCGTCGGCGTCTGGATGCTGCGTCGTTCCGGGAGCTACGAGAGCGGCGGCGGCGGCGGCGGCGGCGGCGGAGGGGGAGGAGGCGAAACAGAAGGGGGAGGGGGAGGGGGCGCGCGCGGTAGGGTGTTGCGTCGGTGGGCGCGAGGGGGTGGCGGCGGCGGCTTACGGTCGGCCAACAAAGGCCGTCGATCGTCGACGTCGGCTCATCCTCTCGGCGATCGACGTGAATGCCCGCGAAATTTATTGTTTCGCCGCGGCTTAGCACGCTCTCGCACCCACACGATCCCTTCCGTGACTTCCCTTCCACTACGGAACCCTCCGTCCCTCTTTCTGTCTCTCGTCTCCACATCTCTGTACATCTCTTTCTCTCCCTGTTCTACGCGCGACCCTGACCGCGGCCCCGGACGCCATACACCACGTCGCGCGGGGGACAAAAGAATAAATCCTGATTAATCTCCCGGTCGCGCTTCGAAAGCCAAGGGTGCGTTCGTTCGCGCGCGAGCGGGCGAGTGAGCGCACTTTCGCTTCATCGTTACCGCCGGAATTACACTTCACTCGACGCAACGAGTTCTGCGTGTCCTTCCGCGGCTGAGAAATTAATGAACGCGCGCGCGTGGCCGCGCTTGTATTTAGTGGTCGGCGACTGCGGCGTTGCGCGAAAATAATTTCGCAACGTTAGCGGGCGCGCGACATCGTGCCTCCGCTAAAGCGACATTTCGCAGAAACGCGGGCGCCCTAACAGTTTCTCTGCCTGACGTTCGAGTGGCTGCGCGAGAGCGAGCCAACGCGGACATTTCCGCGAAAATTTCCACGCTAACGCGCAATTTTATCGCTAATACTTCTCTCGCGAGAGACCCGCTTTAATCTTTACCGTGCACCCAAAAGGATATATAATCTTCTCTCTCGCGAAATCCTCTCTGTCTGACGCAAGACACGACAACGTGCAAGTAGAACACGTCAATCTGGGCAAAAGAGCTCCTATCATTTTTTAAACCGTTTCTTGCGAGTTAACACTTTTAGGACAGGCTTTTTTTAAAGAAAAGTTTTTACACGAAATGATTATATTAAACATTAGTTAAACATTTTCTCATTTTCTTCAACAGTTTTTCTATGATAAATTTTGAAGTAATCAATAATGTAGAGCTCGATGTTATATTTTTTATATTCGAATCTAGATTTTTTGTTCGCTACTTTTTTCTCCATAGCACCACAAACAACGTATTTTCATTGATCTGTTGCGTGATTTCCATTTTTTTCAGTATGAAAAAGAACGTGTCTAGCTGTCAAACATAAAGTATTAGATAATTGAGATCTACCAATTACAGATTTTCGTTGCGAACCATATTTTTCAATGAACTTTCAATTAATTGCAGAAAATAGTGCACAACTAGAGTGTTCTTTTTTCTTTAAGTGTTAGAATATTTTTCTTTTAATTCTAGAAGAATCCTGTTGAGGTTACACACACACACACACACACACACACACATATATATATATATAATATAAATTTCTAGGAAATACATCTCTTTGGATATGACTTATAGCATAATCAAACCTACGAGCGGCTGCGTGACGGAAAATGCTGCAAAGAAGGATTTTTTATAACCCCATTTTGATAACGCGTTCAGAATTTCGCGTCTTACATCGAATCTTACCCTTGTGCATGCCCGTGTACTTGTCTTTGAGGACGGTGAATTCGTAAATCTTGCCGAACTCCTCGAACATCGGGCGGAGAGCGTCCTCCTCGAGATGACGCGGTATCTGTCCGACGAAGAGCTTGATGGCGCCATCGCCGTTGCTGGACGAGGGCGACGTCGACACGGGTATCAGCATTTCTTAGCTTGGACGATCTTTCACGGAGCCACTAATACTATCGCGCCACTCTGTGTACTCGCGCCGTTACCCGAATTTCGAGTGCTTCTCGACGCGCTCACACGGCTTCGTCCTTTTTTCGTCCTCACTCACAACGACGGACCGGTCACTACGACAGAGGCGCGGTCTCGAGCGACGTGGAAGCTCGTAGATTACTTATCGCTACGCGCATAAAGCACGACCGCGACGGAGCCAGTGAGTACTTGACACGTGAGGGGGAGATCGGCCGTCACGGAGGTACTCGTTAACTATCGTCTTCGAGGGACTGGAGGGTTGTCGTGAAGCGGAGGCGTTATTCGCCGAAAACGGCAGTCACGAAGCGGCGAGGAGCTATTCGGTAGGTCGGAAGGGTGGTCCGGTTTTAATCAGGAGCCCGATAAAAAATACACGATAGCGTAATCTTCGTAGGAACGGAAAACAGAGAGAGAGAGAGAGAGAGAAAGTGAGGGTGAAGGTGGCGCAAGACAAGGACTACAGAAAACAAGGATGGAAGACAAAGAAGCGAGATAGGATGATCGTGAAGAGGGTGGAAAAGCGGCTAATGCGGCGAGCGCACGGGAAAGCAAATATCTAACAAGGAGGACGAGGAGGATGAGGAAAAGGAAGACAGCCAGCGGGAAGGAGGAGGGAGAAACGAACAGAGGTAGTCCAACGCACAACAACGTGCGCGCGCGCGCGCGCGATAATTAATTAAATTCGCGGCGCGAAATAACGAGATAATCGGGACGAAGGTGGAAGACGTGCCTCCAGTGGAGATTCGATGATGCACACACGCGCGATCGCTCGAGCGCGCCGCGAATCCACGTGGAATAATAAAAAAGCGCCGATATATACGAGCGGCTGATCGATGCTGCTGTGCGTGCGTTTATCGTCACCCAAGCCGTTATCGACGGCGCCTTTATTCCGTCATGATATTACTCCGTTGGAACGGTGTGCGAAGTGCGCACTCTTCACTCCAATATCCACGTATTCGCTTACAGCTGATCGGAGCTTACAGACAGACGATTGCACGTGCGCGCATGTGCATTAGCACCAGTTGCACGACACTCGCGTAGGAAATCGTCCGGTGAAAGAAAGAGAGAAAGAGAGAGAGAGAGAGAGAGAGAGAGAGAGAGAGAGAGAGAGAG